GGCTGGGTCCGGTCAGTGGCCTTCTCGCCTGACGGCCGGCTGCTAGCGTCTGGCTCCGATGATGAAACTGTACGGCTCTGGGACCCGGCGACGGGCGCGCTACAGCAGACTCTCGAGGGCCACTCAGACTCGGTTCTATCAGTGGCCTTCTCGCCTGACGGCCGGCTGCTAGCGTCTGGCTCCGATGATGAAACTGTACGGCTCTGGGACCCGGTGACGGGCGCGCTACAGCAGACGCTGAATGTGAAGGGGCACGTCGACTATCTTGAGTTTTCTCAGGATGGCTCGCATCTAATCACTAACTTGGGGACCCTTGATTTTCAGTTCGGCCGTCAAAATCGTGTTTCTAACTCAACCCATAGGAATTGGGAGATCTTCATCGAGCAAAGACAGTGGATAAAGCTAAATGGCAAAAGTGTACTATGGCTTCCTCCTGGTTATCGTCCTAGTTGTTCTGCGATTTATGGCAGTTTACTTGCCCTAGGACATGCATCAGGGCGAATCTCTTTCATAGGATTTCGTGTATAGCAGGTGTCAACAATTTTTATATTCTTTCCTCCCTCTATTTTCTAATCGCTTTATGAAAGAAGGGCCTGGGAGAAGACGAGAATTTATATCGCTCTAGGTTCTGTGGAATGTGCTACTAAGTTCTACGCCGTTCTAAACCTTATAACTAGTCTCAGCGGCCGCAGAGCACCTGGAGATCCTGTCACGGATGAGGTGCAGCTTTGAGAGGAAGTCGCGGGACATATTGCGAGCCTACCGTAGCGTTGGTTGACGCTCAAGAGTCATGAATGGAGGAACAAACCTATGGCTACGGTGGGAGTGAAGGATAGCGTGGTAACATGTGTATAGCAGTTTCATGTAAATTACACCAGGTGACGTTCCATTCGCGCTATGCAAATGTGGAACATGGAAGCCAATCTGGAATTTAGCTGTAACATGAACAAAAATCGTATTACAGTAGACTATCCAAGGTTAGTAGTACACTGAAGCACCAGCATAGCCTTCATCATGTAAGAGGTTAGATAAAGTCCAAGGCTGCGAAGGAAACTGAGACAGGGTTGGCTGGAATTAAGCCAGATCGCCAGACCTCCCACACATTCTCGACCCCTTACTAGAACATTCTATAGATCATTCGGTGATTTACAACAACGCATGAAACGAGGAAACCCAATTGCGTTCCATACGATGATACGGCGAAGTAGGGGTTGTTTTTAAGTAGCCAAATACGGACTAGCGTGGTCTCGGCCACAGCCTGAGAAAAGAAGCGTGTGTCTGCAGGGTAAACTGTTTCCGAATCCTACTGTATAACAAAGGTGACGGGAGATTAGACGATGCGGAACCGTGGACAAGGCAAAACGAATGTTGGAAGATTCGAAGCTTTCTCTGCTGATCCGATAAGAAATTCCTTTTTTGGTCTATGTTGTACCCTGTTTTGCTCTGTCGGCGGAGATGTCCGCATGGTCGCCACCTGTGCCACCTGTGCCACCTTATTTTTGGATATCCAGCCACTGTGTTTATACCAACTTGCAGTTTGACCGGAATAGAACGAATATCATGAATAGAGGAAGTGACACGAAATATGATTGTCTGAATCCTTGGGGAAGTGTACGTATGCATCTGCGTAAGACGGGTGTCCCAGCCCCTCCCACCATACCCGAATAGGACTAAATGATCATCGACTCGGGATGATATCACCAGGAATGAAAACCCGTTGTCGGGGTTTTCCACACTGTGTACATGTACGGAGACGGAGGATGAATTCCTGACGATCTATTATATGTATATGCATGGCTGAGTTCGGCCGAATATGAAGTATATACGTGTGGGGGTGGACGTAATCGATGCTTGGCATCTTGAAATATTATATCTATTCTCATAGAGTTTAAAAGGGAAATTCCTAATCTTGAAATGGTGGGTCCATAATAAATTGCGGACTTTCCCCCTATCAGTCCTTCTGGACCCTTAAAAACTTGATCTCCTCTCTTCTACTTGCGCTTCTACAATTGCCTAGCCTTCTCAACCAAATACTCCCACCCTCTACATTCGTTCCCGAGGCAACATGCTCTCTACTCTTCGCCTCTGCCTCCTGGCCGTGACTCTACTTTTCAACTTCTCCTCCGCATTCCCCCTCGTCAGTCGCGAGTTTCAATGGTCCTTCACCCTCTTCCCGTCACCCTCATGTAACGGGACTATCGGTGACCCTCATGTCGGGTCTGGCAGCACAGGCTGTCGCGCAGATCTCCACAGCGTCGCCTCTGCCTACACGCTCAACTCTCTCGCCGAAAGCTGCCGCATCGAGTTTTTCGATAACACCATGTGCGACCAGAACGAACTCTCCGACATCGCCAGCCAAGCCAATACCACTCAAACTTGCCGCATAGCTGGAACGACACGCCGCTATGGTTCATACCAGGTCACCTGCACCTGAACATCTTCAAACCTCATCTCAAATGCCACTGTTTGAAACAGTGAAGGGTCTCTGGCGGGTTCCTAGATTCTACGCGCAATTTTTTTGGAAAGTCCGCTAGGAGATCGATTGTGATCCCTCGGTGGGAAAGGATATATATAGAATATTTAATGATACCCTTAGATTAATGAAATGAGTTTACGATGGTCAATATTTTCAGCCTTTCAACCTTGCGCTTTTCCCCTGCTATTTACTCGTCGACGAGGGTTCAATCCACGGTGATCGCACGGTCTGTGTCTTCTGGTATCTGGTATCGGGCGGTTCGTGCCGACGGCCGATGCAAGTTGACTGGGATCAGCCTGATGAAACGGGGACGCGCAATGGCGGGCGGCCTGATGCACTACTAGTAGGGATCATTTTTCATGCGACACGCCAGGGTAATGAGACCATTGGTGAAATATTTTAATTGGGAAGATCGCTCGCACGATATGATGCACATTGGTCTTGACTGGTCTAACTTGACGGTTGACGTCCATGGGGGTTATGATACCGAATTTACAGGTGTACATGTTCCTGCACTCTGCATATACTTAGCGCGCGGCTATAGATTTATCTTAGTAGACAAGACTCTGCGGGCTTTATGCGCTCATTTGCCAGAAGTCAGATCTTCTTGGTCTCGCTCGGAGTTAAGGCAGTGCCTTTCCGGGAATGGATAAACCCCGAGCAAAACTACAACGCCGCAAACGGATGGGCATATTTTCGCATATAGTCGTTAAATTCTTAATACAGCCCAATCGTAGTTTTCCATAGTCGCAAACCCCTTGTAAACTGTTCAATTATGACAGTAAAAGCCGAGGTATTGGACGGTGCCACTAGCCCACCAGCGGCTGTATCATTCTTTGATCCGTCTATCAAGGAGGTTCGAGAGCGGGTGTTCTACCAATGGGCGCGCACTCGTAAGCACGTCCAAAATCTGGGGACTCACGGCATGCAAGGGAAACTAACGGAAATCATCAGTGTTAATTCTGTGCGTCTTTGTGTTCGCTGTGCTATCTCTCTTTTGGGGAGCCCAATACGGCACTGAGGCCAAGTACCCAGCGTTGAAGGTATGGATTGTCGATTTCGACGGCCAAGTTGATCCATACCGCTCCAACGACACCATAGTTGGTTCAGCAGTTACGGATGTCACCAAAAGAATGCTGCAGTCTGACGGCTTCCACCTCGGCTACACTATTAAATCCCCTGCCGACTTCAACTATGACCCTTTGGCCGTGCGCCAGGGCATTTATGATGAACATGCCTATGCCGCTGTGATAATCAAGCCCGACGCAACAGCGCTGCTCCGAGATGCAGTCTCCAAGGACAATACAACATACGATCCGACCGGTGCCATCGAAACAGTTATCATCTCCGCGCGCCATGAAACAACATACTACACCTATATCCTACCCGACCTGGCCAACCTACAGGGAATGGTGCTAGCAGAGTTTGGCCCGAAATGGGTCCGATCTCTCGTCTCATCCGTCAGCAACTTGTCATCCATCCCCCCACAGGCGATCAATCCGGGCATCGGATTCACGACCGTCGACCTACGTCCTTTTGCCCCGGCTGTCGCTTCGCCTGCCGTGACCATCGGCTTGATCTATTTGATTATCATTGCGTTTTTCAACTTCCCCTTCATGATGTCCATTCATGCCCAGTTCATGAAACCAAATGGCCATCCGCCGCTAAAGGTGCCACACTGGCTCATTTGGCGCATTCTCTCGAGCATGGTGGCTTACTTCTTCCTTTCGCTGTGTTACTCACTCGTGTCTCTGGCTTTCAGGATCCCATTCAGCAATGATTCTGCGTCGAATGTCCTGTCCGCAAATAATCCGAATGCGTATAGTCGTGGCTCATTCGTTGTATTTTGGATGCTGAACTGGGTTGGCATGGCTGCTTTGGGATTCCCCTGTGAGAACATGGCTATGGTCCTCGGGTTCCCATGGAGTTCTTTGTTTCTTATTTTTTGGGTTATTACGAATGTTGCGACAGGGTTCTATGACATTGATTTGGCCCCGAAGTTCTATAGATGGGGGTATGCATGGCCGCTACATCGCAGTAAGTTCCCCCCTCATTTTGGTTACGGTGCTCTGTTGCTGATGATCAAACTTTATGTTCTAGTTGTCGAGGCTCTACGAACCATTATCTTCGATATCCATTCGCGCATTGGATTGGACTTTGCTATTTTGTTCATTTGGATTGCAATATCCCTGGCCCTTTATCCTTTCGCGGCCTTTATCATGAGGTGGAAGATGAAGCGGGGAATATAAAGCAGGGATAAAATAGGAAGTGAACAGGCAGTGAATATACAATTAATAGGTACGAACAGTCTGGGAAGCCTCTAGTCACCAGTGCGCCATAGACTTTGCCTGCAGTGCTAGTAGTATAGTGTGTAATATCAGTATTGTATACCTGTGGACGATTCAATACTCCCACCTACGCACACGCATTATTTCATATGTAATGCATGTGTGCATCAATGTACCTTATAGCTTGTTAGTTTCACTATAGAGGCCACTTAAACACATCGTGCAGCTCCCACTTAGGTGTCGCATAGGCCTCACTACGACAGTCTTAATGTTGGTTTACTCTGAAGATTCTGGGTGGATTGCTGGAACTATTTGACAGCATTTCCTTTGCATCTTGTCAAAGGCGAAGAACACGGTATTGATATCGCGATGTTTATCGAATTTGCTCAGAAGAAACTTGGGATAAAGCCGCGACTCATAACTCCCGACACTCTCCGACTGATAAGAGCAAAAGTAGGAATAGACTCATTTTCACACAACTCAACAATGTCCTCCTCGTCCTGAATTTTCTATAATCAATAGAAGGCTCCAGAACACCCTTAATCCTCCTGTGAGCGAGATCAACAGACGAGAAATCCCTCATCGCCAGAGTCTGAAAAGCAATGATATCAAGTAGCCAAAAAGCATGACCTTCATTCTCTTCTATCTTCCATCAACCATATTGGTCTTTCCCTCTGAGTTCCATCTCCAAGCGACCACCTGGTACGTTTCCCATCTATCGCGATCTTTCACTTTCCTCTCACTTCCAAGGTTTCCTCTCACTTTCACTTCACTTATCTTGGAAGTAGTACAGCATTCTACCGCTAGACCATAGCAAAAACCAAAATATCTGTTCGAGGCCTACGGAAGGTACCTTTAGATTCGAGAGTATGTATTACCAACCAATATAGGCCTACATATGTAATCTTGGAAAGCATCAATGAACTAACAGAAGGTCAGCTTTGGCAACCCCAGCTGCCAGAATTCGATTTGCTCAGCCCACGATCAGAATATTCCACTTATAATTGCCAGTGTATTTTGTTTGACACTAAATACAGGTTATAACGTTTGGTTGTTTACCTATATATTTAGGTACATACCTAGGTACCCAGGTAATGCATAACCTTGGAAATGTCAGGTGAACGGCCACCTGGCCAGGTGCACGTGGTTGAGCAAGTTCAGCCCTGAAATACTTCTTCTTCTAGAGATACCTCTTTCACCCGCAACTTTCTCCGCCAACAAGATGTCACTGAAGAGAATCATCATCTTCTTAAATTTCTGGTACGGGTACGCGTTTGTTGCATCCATTCATCTATTGAGGCGCACGTGCTCTCCTGCAGGTACCTGCTAGCCCTATCAATATGGCGCACAGTCTAAGTACCCTCGCGCCTATAGACAGATGAATAGACGTATCTGTCACCGACTGTCATAAAATGCGTCGATCTTTTGGTCTACTACCTATTTATTGCAACCTTATGTGTCTTTCCTTCTTCTTCTTCCTCCTTCGTCCCGAAAACGAGCATCTCGCAGTGGCAGACTACAGTTTCTCTATGCTATGCTCTGATCTTATTTCTATTTGTTTCTCATCGTTCCCGTCTATCATCAATCTAGTGAAATGGATACTCTCAACCCTCATCGGCAGGCGCTCTTGGCCACGAGAGAGCGCGCTGCAATGGACCCAGATTATCACTTCCGCCGCAATCCCCATGAGCGCCGTCGTCGCGCCCTTGCTAAGCTGGACGAAGCTCCCTTTGGCTGGGCACATATTCACACCGTTATCATCACCGGCCTTGGGCTCTTCACCAGCGCCTATGAGATGTTCGCCATCAACCTGGCGGTCACCATGCTGGGTATTGTTTATTGGCAGGGCGAAGACTCTGGTTCTGGTAAGATTCCTTTCGGCCTGGAGGCTGCCATCAAGGTCGCCACTCTTGCTGGTGCTGCGATCGGACAGCTCCTCCTCGGTTGGCTCGCAGACCGTATTGGCCGCAGACGCGTGTACGGCTATGGACTGATGGTCATTATCTTTACTACTCTGGCTCAAGTTATGTCCTCTTCCTCTCGTGCCCTTAGTATGTCTGGTCTCCTGATCTTCTGGCGAGTAATTATGGGTGTTGGAATTGGTAGCGTCTATCCTCTTTCTTCTGTGATCACTTCTGAGTAAGTCCTCTCGTTTCCACAAAAAGACAGCAGCTGACCTGACAGGTTTGCTACCACCAAATGGCGTGGTGCCATGATGAGTGCCGTCTTTGCCATGCAGGGCTTCGGCCAATTTGCAGCTGCCATAACCGCCCTGATTGTCACAGTTGGTTTCAAGAAGTCCCTGGAGAGTGCCAAGGACGTTGCTCACTGCACTGGAGCTTGCCAGCTCGCTGTCGACAAGATGTGGCGTTTTACCATCGGACTAGGGGCTATCCCCGCCTGTTTTGCACTCTATTACCGTCTAGCCATCCCCGAGACGCCTCGGTTTAACTTTGACATCACTCGCGACATCATTAAGGCGGATAAGGATGTTCGCACCTACCTGAGGAAACGGAGGGCGAACGGCACAAGGGAGCCACTGTACACCCCTCCAATTCAGAATGGTATCCCTGACTTTGGTCCCAAGGCCAGCTGGTCCGATTTCTACGGTCGCTACTCTCAGTGGAAGCATGGGAAAGTTCTTCTTGGTACAGCAGCGTCTTTGTTTTTCCTCGATATCGGCAAGTCCGCAGAAGTCCTCAATCCTGCACAGAAGCTAACATTGTATCAGCATTTTACGGTCTTGATCTGAACAACTCGATTACCCTTGGCGCTATTAACCGGACTGGTGCCAAAAACGTCTACGAAATTCTGTACCGCAATGCTGTCGGAAACCTTATCTTGATCTGCGCTGGTGCCATTCCTGGATACTTGGTTGCCATCGCCACTGTTGACAAGATCGGACGCATTCGTATTCAACTCCTGGGGTTCCTCATGCTGTCTGTCTTTTTTGCCGTGATTGGCCTTGCCAACCTGGATCAAAATGACAGCGGCCTGCTGGCTCTTTACGTTTTGACACAATTTTGCTTCAACTTCGGGCCCAGTACAACTACTTTCATCGTGCCCGGCGAGTGTTTCCCCACACGCTACCGCGCTACTGCCCATGGGATCAGTGTAGCCGTCGGCAAGATTGGCGCCATTATCTCGCAGTGTGTCTTTGTTCCTCTTGTTTACCGGGGTGCAAAGGCGCCTGGCGATGCACCCTGGCTCGATCATGTTATGCAAATCTTCTGTGGGTTTATGTTTTGCGGCTTTGCAACGTCCTTCTTCATCTCCGAGACCAAGCGCCAGAGTCTGGAGGTGCTTTGTGGAGAGATGGATCCGCCTCCTCGAACCCAGCATGCATACATCAGAGATGAAATCCCACTTCGAGCAGTTGGGCCTGTCCGTGTCGGAAACCCCGTAACTGTTTCCGCCGCCCCAAGAAAGCCTTAGAGGGCTTGCATGGCGTTTTGCTAGGTTTCATAGCTTTAGCTTTCTTTGATAGCTTTCAGGTATCTCGCAAATAACTATTCAATTAATCTCAATTTAGCCATACATTAAGACATAGCCCTCTCAGTACGTCTTTTGTTAGGTTCTGAACTCTCATTCTCTGTTCTCTCTCTACTCACATCCTCTGTCTCCATTTACCATTTCTTAACTTTCTTATTTCCGCCGCTCGCCGTCATATCCTCACCATTTGGCACTAGCTCTGACATCTCATTACATGCTCTTTCTACCTCAATCTGAAAATCTAAGGCTTTCAATGGCTAATTTCATGTGGGCCGACTCGATTCCGCCATACCGACCCCTCGTTCTCGGCTGGATCTAGATCAACCTGACTTCGTATAGTCACCTCTATAAAGCAAGGTTCCACGCGACATTTCATCTAAAAGTGTCTTCTAAGGGTCTTCCAGCGGCGACTTTGCGGAGCCCAAGCTCTCTGAGTCCGTTCTAGTCAAAAGCTAAGTCCACCTCATGATCACCGCTCTTAAACGCGCTCTCGACACCTGAGACCTCAGCCCTTCGAGCTTTTTACCAACAGATACCTAAGCTAGATACCGTAAATCTGTCCCTCCCGAGTGGATTGGCAAGTCTCTTATCCTCATTTCGTACCTCCGCGCCGCCGTCTGTACGCCACATAAGTCGCACATCAACGCCGCGCCTGACGTCTACCTTGCCTCCTAAGACTCCAGACCTCCTTCACGGTTCACATTTATAACACCGGCTTAAGTTCATAATCGGGTCTCTCTTAAGTACGAAGGCGTCTACCACTCCTCAAGATTTCACTATCAACGGCACGGGCGGTATCGCTATGGACCACGGGGGAGTAGTAGACGCTATACTATCTAGTAGATCGAGAAGGGAATCCAATCCATGGCAACTTATGATTCGAGAAAAGAGGGTGCAGTGCTCTTTACTCCAGTTTGTGTCCGTGTCCTCAGATAGCGTGAATGGCTTGTATCCCAACATCATCTTGCTTTATGGACAGGAACGTCCAAGACTAGAATATGTGCTTTTTTAACGCAAAAGAAATAACAAAATTATATTGCTGATGATATTTCCACGTGGTTGTACTACATACGGGTTTCTTGCATGTGCAGTAGACAGTGTCACACATGACTAGAGCATTGTGATACAGTCCTCGAAGGAAACCTCGTTGTATGTTCCTTGAATTAGTCTATGTAAGTACAGGCTCGAACTAGAAAGCATTCGCAATACTCTAAATTGTGTGAGAGGACCGTACCGAGTAGAACATACTCTATAGCAATTTGACAATTGAACCTTCCAGTGCTTTTGTGGGACTCCGTAGTTTATAACAGCCTTAATAACGATCCATCTCAATTAATTTTCGATGTTGTTTGCCTCCCTGTAAAACGCTGTCAATACAAACACGTCCATCCCACCTTGGCAGTCCTCGCAAGCTTTTCAGGCTCTACTCATTGCTTACTCCTACCTATCAGAGACAATTCACCATGGCCCGTATGGTCACATCCCCTTGTCCAGGAGACAACGTTAAGGTGGCAAAGCCAAAGGATCTCATTAACCAGAAAAAGGCCCGCCACACGAGCCCGACTACCAGCCAGAGCGCACTCAAACACATCGCGTCTCCAGGACAATCGACCGATGTAGCAACCGAAGACTTCGAAATCGCCTCCGCGCTGAGGCTCATCGCCCTCTCGGTCACTCAGCAGCGCCGCCTCGCCGCCAAATCCCTCATCCTCCACCCGACCACCCTAACACTGGCAGCCGTGAGTTTTGCTTACGGTGTCGGTGCCGTTTACCATGACCCATCTGGCTGGCCCTACATTTTTGTTATCTGTGCCACTGTGGTATCTGCCACTCTAGGCATTGTCATACGCTCGCTTGGGAAATATAACGATGAGGCTGAGAAGGTTGGAACAATGAACTGGTTGTACGGGCACGACCCTGACAAAGACATCAGCGCTACCACCACTCAGGAAGACCCTGCCTTCAACTCGGATAGTGGAGTTACGTTTGTGCTTGTTCATCGATTTGGGGGCTGCATTGTCGGCACGCTTGTTATGAGCATCACGTACAGCGGCATCGAACCCCATCCGAAAATCAATGCGAGAACTCTCCCAACGGGCGAAAACTACGATGCCTTTATACGTGCCTGGACTGTCCAACAAGGCTTCCGTGGCTACGGAGTTGGCGCTGCGCTCCTCAACGAAGCTGTCATGATCTGCTATGAGCATAAGTGGAACGGACTTCGGTTCGCGAATTCTCATGTCAACTCGCTTCGCGTCTTTCCCTGCATTTTACATTATGACATGGATCAAGAATCATCTATGTGGAGCTCATATCTGCGTAAGCGGGTTGAGGCTCATCGTCAATCCCGTGATGTCTTGGAGGCTCGAATTGTGGATGTGTCCCAGCGTGCGAGCGACAGCGAGACCCCGATGATTGATACGCAGATGCGGTTGATTTGTACCCAGATAAAGCTGGAGGAGTTGATCCGAAGTTACGTCAATGTCCGCCTTGAAAAGGCAGTTGAAGCCCAGACTCGATGGAAGAAAATCTCGTGATTGCTCGCGTTCCGAGGCTGGCTTGCTGTTTCTGGACTAAGTATCAGTGGAGGTTAGGCGTATCGATGTTTGGATTCATGCTCTGCTATTGTTATGTATCTCATGGGTGACTGTTGTATCGGATATTCTACTTAGTATTCTCACGAGGAAGAGTGAGCTCATTATTATTTTACAGAAGAACTCGGCTAACTCATTGCGCAGGTCAGTCCATGTCTGTTGTCCTTCAAATCGAATGAGCTTTCCAATATGTGACTTCTTAACTGAATTGAAGTACCTTCTCATTTCTTCAGAAATCAATACAAATGACACCCGCAATTATAGAACAGGACTGGATTGATTATAGTATATGTACCCGAGATTTCCAGGCCTGTGGCAATCCAATACTGAACTTTGGCTGTCAGGGATATATTCTCTTACTGTCCTTTCTAGCATAATATTGATTTAATTTGCTTTTTTTTTTTTTCAATCTCGGTTTGATCTCCTACAAGGCAATACACAGCACGACCCGAACTGTAGCGGGTCGGAATCCCGAAATTAATATAGCGAGGGTGACATCACTACTATGTATACACTACGGTTTCGATGAAGCGATACAAGAGACGAGTTGGCCAAGCGCCTGGACAAAAGTATCCTGCCAACTTTAGATTGACAGTAATTCTATCTCCATGGAGCTATATAGATGGCTTCTTAGCAGTAAATGATCTCCATCTTCAGCAATATATCAATCACTACATAGTATAGCCTCTTCTACCTTCCTTCTAGTCGGCCTTGTGGAATATCCTCAAAACCTACCTTTTACAAAACAAGCCTGCGTTTTCATTAACCGTCGTTCCTCTCTGGTTGTAATTGACTTACCTGCAGGCTGCCAACGGACATGGCGTCCTTATCATCTAGTTTGAACTCTCTGGTCTTGTTAATAAGTTACCGACTTGTGCCACTAGATAAATTTCTCAAAGTGAGCCACAAAATTGTAACATTCCCGTCTATAGAATATGTTGACAAAAATATATATCTAGATATTTGCCGAACCATGAATTTCGGAATAGTCAACCCACGGAATGCGCATTTTTCTCAGATATAGGCCAATTCAAACGAAAATTCCACTTCAATGGCCTACATGAACCTACATCGGGATTTCTAGATTGGAAGGGCCGAGGCCGAGCGGGTGTTTAATATCGCCGGAGTTAGCCACAGAAGTGGAGATTGTAGAAAAGCCGTCAGCCCAAGCATCTGGACAATGAATATATAGCTAGCCGCGAAGACCGAGGCCTCCCACAAGCGACCGATCAATCTCCGGAAAGAAGCCGAGACATTTCCTAGCCTGGCTTTTTGGATCAATTCTGGGGGTACTGTAGAAAAAGATGATATGACATAAACGTCCCTTTTATCCACGTGCCGATATTCATTGATGTATACCATTGCCGGCTAATCCTGGGGCCGACGTTCGGTGCTGACCGGCAGCACGACCACTCGCCCAAAGCCGAGTCGTACAAGGGTCAAATGGTGGCGCGAGGTCAGTGGTTATGAAGACAGGGGTTAAACCGGCTAAATCAACGCAATTCAACCGGTTCGGAAAGGATTTCGGATGTGGGGAAGCTGACTTCAGCTCAAATCATACAGCTTTTGCCTCGGGAATTTGGCAGCCCTTTCATCTTCAGTGTATCAAGATCTGGACAAGTACGTTGTGTACAACTTCCAGTAGACCAAATAAGAGTTGGATGTTGAGACTTTTGATGAATCTCCAGATTTTGAAATGCGCGGGGTCCCCGGAATGTCTCCATCTGGTGGAGCTTGTCCGAATCCTTTCGCCAGCGGCAGATGCCGACTCAGAAACTCTCTGGATCAGAGTCCTAAATGTATATTTTCAGCCGGGAATTGATATGGTAGGCTAGTACTGTACCGTGGTCTTCTGATTCGGCCATTTTATCCAGCCGTTTCAAGGTCTTTGGCTAAGAGCACCGGTTAAATCCAGCGAGCTCGAAATCACGCACGGCCCAAAGTGACTGCAGCCACTGACGGCCTTGCAGGGTAACGCTAGTCGAGCCTTTCCCGTCTCACAGCCGATTCGACCTGCCCACCCGGCTTGATGAGAAGGGAGGCCACACGCCACGAAGCTTGGTCATGATGGGCTGATTGGACCAATTACGTCGTGATTTCAGGTTCAAACATGATCATGTCCGCTCCCATGTCCCCATGGGGGCTAAGTCCCCGGGGAAAATTGGTTGTTTCTAGCTGATTATCCGTACCCGGGCGAATAAATACTCGCAGATCCCCTGTCGAGACGTAAAGGAACGTGCAGGCATTTTTTCCGATATTTGCCATTCTCTTTTATTTTCACTCTCATCGGAAGTTGAGTTGTTTTGTATCATCTATCCTTATTGGCTTTCGTCGTAATACACAATGGTGGCTCCTCTTGTGGGAGAGACGGCCATCTCGGCCAAACGTGCTGAGCTTTCAGGCAAAAATGGGTTCAAGGGCCTGCTCAGTAACAAGAAGACAACATGTATCGGACTTTTCGCGTCACTAGGAGGTCTTGTTTATGGATGTAAGTCGACGAAGCGATGTCAATGCCCTCATGAATAGAATCTGATAGCGGTCATACAGACAACCAGGGAATGTTTGCCCAAGTTCTGACGATGCCGGCGTTCCAGGCAGCGGTATGTCTCCTGCTCGTTGAACTCAGCATTTTGCACTGCTAACGGTTTTTCCTGCATAGACCCAAGATTACGCGAAGGAAACAGGTATTGCGCAGGGGATGCTCACGTCTATCCTCGAACTTGGTGCTTGGGTGGGGACATTGGCAAACGGATATCTCGCCGATGCGCTCGGTCGTCGCCTGACTGTTTTGGTTGCCGTGGTGGTGTTCTGCATTGGTGTCATTGTTCAAGCCTGTACAGAGAACAAGGACTTTGTCTTCGGAGGTCGATTCGTGACTGGTCTGGGTGTTGGTAGTCTGAGTATGGTGGTGCCACTGTACAATGCAGAGTTGGTGAGTGAATGCAATGAGCTCGACAAGAGAAAAGGCTAACGAATAGGGAAGGCACCACCTGAAATTCGTGGCTCACTTGTCGCTGTGCAGCAACTCGCCATCACCTTTGGAATCATGGTCAGCTTCTGGGTACGTCATGTCCATCTGGTCAAATCTCTCAATCCTGACGTTTGCAGATCGGCTATGGAACAAATTATATTGGCGGAACTGGGGCAACACAATCGGATGCTGCATGGCTGGTCCCAGTCTGTATCCAAATCCTACCCGCTGTCATTTTGGCTGTGGGTATGATGATGTTCATGCCACAGTCCCCCCGTCATCTGATGAACACCGGCCGCGAGGAAGAATGCCTACAAACGCTGGCCCGCTTGCGTAACGCACCTCCGGATAATATCCTTGTTCGCATTGAGTTCCTCGAAATTAAAAGTCTGTACCTCTTTGAACGAGAGACGGCTGCCGAGAAGTATCCCGACTGGCAGGATGACTCGTTTTCCAGCCGCTTCAAGATCGGACTACATGATTACATGTCATTGATCACTGACAAGTCTCTCTTTAAGCGCACAGCAACGGCGGTACGTTTTATATCCATTGTGCTCCATGATTATTGCTAATCATACCACAGTGCATGATTATGGTGTTCCAACAATGGAATGGTAGGATATGCGAAATCCGAAAAAAATTGAATCCATCACTAACATTATCATCTAGGCATCAACGCAATTAACTACTATGCGTAAGTCCCCACAAATGCAACCTTGTAGCAGAAGATATGGAAGATACATCATTTTGTCCCTTGTGTTTCTTGACGGGTTCACCTGCTGACACTTCCACAGACCATTCATCTTCAAGGAGATGCACCTGGGCGGCAACACAATCTCACTACTCGCCACCGGTGTTGTTGGAATCTTTGAGTTCGTCTTCACTATCCCTGCCGTCCTGTGGGTTGACAAGATTGGACGAAAGAAGATCTTGATTGCTGGTGCAATTGGAATGGCGTCCTGTCATTTCATTGTCGCGGGTATTATTGGCGCGTATCAGGGTAGTTTCGACGATCACACAGCTGCCGGATGGGTGGCTATTGTCTTTGTTTGGATTTTCATCATCAACTTCGCCTACTCTTGGGGTATGTACAAATTCCGTGCGTTGTGATAGACTATGCTGACCATTGTTGCACTGCAGGACCTGTTGCGTGGATTGTTACTTCCGAGGTATTCCCGCTCAGCATGCGTGCCAAGGGTGTCAGTATGGGTGGTAGCAGTAACTGGGTAAGTGGCGAGATAGACCGGCAAGTTCGTTGGAAATCTCTAACTGGATACTCTGCAGTTGAACAACTTCGCGGTCGCTACTGCTACATCTCCTTTTCTGCAAAAAAGCAACTTTGGTGCATTCATCTTCTTCGGATGCATCACAACCGTTGCTGTTTTCTATGTCATCTTCCTTGTACCCGAAACCAAAGGTCGCACCCTTGAGGAGATGGACGAATTGTTCGGATCGGTCGGGTTGGCAGCTGCCGATAGTGGACGCAAGCACCGAATCGAACGTGAAATCGGGCTTCTTGCCCTTGTCGGTGTGGAGCCTGCTGATGAGAAGCACACTGAGGCCGGTATGGATGAGAGCAAGGTTGAGGTCTCGAGGTACGAGGATGTGGTGCCTAGCCCGAAGAATTAGATGGAGCCAGGAAATGGAGAACTGTTGATAAGTCGAACAGTTCCGGATAGCATCGACAAGAAATCGACATGTTAGATACCTGGACCACATATCTTTAGTTCTTATACTCCATACGGAGTACTATAATATAACCGTTGAGTCTTTTTCCCTCCTTACTTCTATGCAAATTTGGAAATGCATAACACTCATCACATGTATCTGGTTATCAAGAGACTTGGCAAGTAAAAAATGCCCAAATCAAAGTTTTCAGCCCATTATGCCCATTATGTACTCTGTACTAAGTATAGAAAACTGGGCCAAGGCTGAAGGAAAGACCAGTCATATTCAAGGGAAGGCACTATATGTCTTGGATGTCTTGGGTAGATTGACCCTTCTCACCTCTTTTAATTTTCCCCATCTTTCTTTCTCTCTTCAAAATATTTTCATTTTCACGTCTCAAATCCACCAGATCCCCACAATTCAAAATGTCTTCTACTACTTCCACCTCGTCTGTGAGCGCAACCAGCACTGCCTGCGGCGCCAGCGTCTGGCAAATCCCCACGACAGATGCAGCCTGCGCGGCTGTTGTTAGTGGGAATATGACCGATGTGATGGATGAGTGCTGCAAGGACGCGAAGATCACCAAGTACGACAACGATTGCGGCATCTACTGTCTCGCCCAGGGCCAAGATGTCGACAAGCTCCAGTCCTGCCTCACCAGCAAGAGCGGCGACTATCGCAATGTCTTCTGCAACGCCGCTCTCAATGCGACCGCCACAGCCACAACCACAGGCTCCAAGTCCACTTCCTCAGGCAGTACTAGCACCGACTCTTCTGCTACCTCGACTTCCACAAACGCTGCTATTGCGACCCAGCCAATCTCCAAGTCGGGTGTCGGACTGATGGCGCTCCTTTTCGGCTCTGCTTTGATGGCTGTCATTTCATAAGATGGTTCGATGTTTCGGGGAGGATTTAGTAGAAAAATGTTTCTTCGAGCGGATGAGCGACCGTGTTCTCTTATTTCGCATCCTCTGGGCTTACATGTGACATCCTCTTAATACAAAAAAGGATTTAATAAGCATAATCAATTCCTTTTACTGCGGTGGTCATATTTTACAGCCCTGGAGAGAAAAATAATAATGTCCAATGACGTCATTGCGTTGCACTAAATCAGCTTACTCTTGTTCTCCAGGGCTGCTATTCTGCCCCCTCCCCTGATCCCCTGTTAGGCTGGGCAACCAAATATCACCAGATACAGCTGCATCCGAAAATGACCTCAATCGCAAAAACCGTCATCGCGACAGGCACGTCGTCGGGTTTGGTAAAGCCTGCCCTTGGAAAATCCTGACTCCAGCTAAACATGATCATAGGGATTCGAAGCAATCAAGCAGCTACTCCAGCAGACGCAGCCGTACAACTTCATTCTGGGCGTTCGTGACACGGAAAAGACGCGTGTCGCGTACAATGATCTGAAATTCGACACTTCAAAGCACAGCGTCTCTGTCTTGCCCTTGGATCTTTTGAATCTTAAGAGCGTGCAGTCCTTTGCCAAGCAAGCACTCTCTGAATTGGGCGAAAGGCCATTGAGCTATCTTTTCCTCATTGCAGGCTTTCTTGCCAGCGCAGATGGACCCGGACCTCATGGCTCGCAATGGTGCGAATCGTACATGGTAAATCATCTGGGTATGTCAAATTTGATCCATCGGCTACTGAAGAGAAGAGCCTAGGAAGCTGGAGCTAATCATTGATGAATCGCAACCCAGCCCAGCATTATCTGACACACCAATTTGCTGAGACCCTGTCTGCCTCGCAATCACGCATCGTCATTGTATCTTCGGGTGCAATTCGTAATGTGAGAGGAGGCGACCCAAGTAAGTTTAGTTCCATCTTTCCAGTCGTGTCGCCAAAAGCGAAGCTGTTCACAGTGCTGACTTCATATTAGGCACTCTTGACGTTGACCTAAAAGCAAACTCCGGCGCAAACGCAAGAGTAGTGTACAGTGCATCGAAATTCACCCAGCTTCTGGGTGCACACTACTGGCGTCGTAGCCTCGCAAATTGCAAAGTCGTGGCTGTCTCACCAGGTCTCATCCCTAACACCAAGCTTGCCCAGCATTCGAGCTTAGCATTGACCATGGATATGCCCGATGCCAAGACCGTACCAGAGGGTAAGGATATATTTGGATTTGAGTTTTCTTATTTGAAGACGATATCTAACGCTGAATAGGTGCCCAGAACATTCTACGCGCGGTCACAGCCGATAACCTGCCCGCTGATCCAGAACAGATTTTCTTGACTAGCTGGGGTGAATGGTGGCCCAAGGATGTCTATGCTTTGAGTCTTGATCCTGCGCTGCAAGATAAGTGGTGTTTGAGCAAGGAGGACATTGAGAAGTCGGAGCCTGTCTTCAAGGAATAGGGAGCACCCTCTGAACATTTTGTCCCAACAGGTCTGCAAATAGTGAATTTCATTTAAGACGTGCCAAGTCCAAGATCCTGTTCCAGGAGAAACACTATCTACTGGTTCGCGAATCGGAGAAAATACATAGACATGAATGGGTCAAATTTATCCCTCTTGCAGCAGTGAGCCTTGGAGTGGAAGGTTCATAGTGTGGACCACCTACGTCAGTTATACCGTCGGCAGACTCTCAGCACAAATCTAACAGTTTCTCCAGCTCGGACCGCCTAAGGTTTCTCCATCCACCATCGGCTGTTCGCTGTTTCTGTGACCTTGCTCGACTCCTGTGGTGCTCTATCAAGTTGACACCCAGGGTCACGTTCCTCACGTTTCTCAGAGCAAAGCTGGTTGGAAATGGGAAAGTCTCTGGAAGGAATGGAATAGGGATACCACATCAACTACCAAGTTGGGGATATTTTGTGAGGAAACACGGACCTGCCACTGTTGATTGCCCTTGTGGCCATGTAATGGCCAACTGCCCGACCATTATGGCCACCGAAGGCCTTGTAGGATTTGGCACGTGCCGTAGGTGCAAATTGGTCACTGTGGCTTAGGATTATGCTAATATGATACTCTAGAATGATACGCCGCGTGTATGTACAGCATGATGATCGAGCGGGGGCTTTACAATTGGCTTTGTCCGCCCCTATCTGGGTCCTTAGCAATACAACCGCTGCCAGCCAACTAGCTTCTCAAACTCAACGATCGCTCATCTACCTCTCATCTACCTCTCGTCTACCTCTCAACTGCCACCTTACTTCCGTCGAAGTGGTCGACCTCTAGCAGACACCTTTATTCGACAGAAACTCAACCTCGTTGGGTCCAAACTGGAAATGAAGGGCGAGCGAAGAGACTCATATATGTTAAGGTCCCTGCTTTTAAAAGGGAACATCCCTGCTCCTCAGCTGCAAATTTAACTTTGGACATCCCCCTCACCTTCAAGGAATCAACTACCCTCGACACTATTGCTTTATTTCTATATCATCCTCCTTCTCAAGTTACCTTTTCAATACATCAACTCTAGAAGAGCTCGTCCCGCGAGATGGCTGGGATCACAGTGAATCATCTACACCTAGCTCGCACTTGCCGGCCTCAAGCCCCCCACAGCGTGGAAGAGGTTCTGGAACTTCAGACAACGTCCCTGAAGTCGAACTCAAGACTTGGCGGGATTGCGCAGATGCAGAGCAATTCTTGCGATTGGCCGAGTGGAACGACGCTGATGGGGATGTATTTCTTGCTATTCGAGCGAGAGATCCGAAAATCCCCATTATTAAGGATTTCATTCTCAGATTGGCCCAGCGTCGTCTTCGTCCGCTTCGGGTCCAGCTCTAGAATCTTGGCTGGTCTGAGGTGTTTCCGGACGGGAACGCCAACGAGTCTCATGACGGTACTCTAAACACGGCTTGATTCGTCTCAACAAGGAGAAGAGCCTCTTTGAGGTGCCAGGTGATCCAAACAGCAATATTCAAGCTCGTGCAAACGCCTTGCAAGGTGTTCTCCCCCGTAAGGGTCCGCAGCAACCTGACGAGTCAAGGATAGTCGTCAGGGAAGCATTCCAGAGTGAACCAGAAACAACAAGCAAGTCCAATAAAACTTGGAAAAGACTCGTGATCACGTCCAGGAAAGGTTGCGTGGGATCTTCGATTTTGAAAAAGATGATTTTTGGCTTCGAGGGGTGGACCTGAAGTCGCTCCTGCTGCCAATGTTTTATTCTGGTGATAAAGACTTCAAATTTCGACCGGGCAAAGATATTGCTACTGGAATACGACTTCCACGGGATAACGAGCTCTTCCAATTAGTTGGAAACATTGTCGTCGTGGTGGCTACGTTCGTAACGGGGGCGTGCTGTCTCAGTAGGTAAGTTTAGGAGGTTCCGTCTCTAATATGTTCGGCCAGCTTATGGGCCGTGTCTTATGACACTAAAAGAGTTGCCAAGAATGCCCATCCCATATCCCATCCCATGTCCCATCCCGTCTCCTATCCAAAAACCCATCCAAATACCCACCCAAAGTACCTATCCCATATTCCATCCAAGTACCCACCCAAATACCCACCTAAAGTATTTAGACTAACATTGAATAGTCCCCGCGTATGGCTCTTTGGCCCGCTATAGCCAGCTGCAGCGTCGTTGGTCCAATCAACAACAGATGAGGAGGGCCACCAAGCCTCGGTACGCGATTCGTTTTACCGATACTACTCTACCTCTGACAATTCCGCCGCGGGTAGTCAAACTACTCCGCGGGGATTCAACGTTACGACTCAGACAATCCTTTTCGGCAGCCACGAGCCCGTTGATGAGTTTCAGTTATGACGCGAATTGAAGAGACTTCCCTCCTGAAGAGCGATATTAGTGAATGGTTCAGGTTTAGCTGCATGGGTTTTGATTGATGGTATCCGGGGAAATTTTGTAAGTGATGGCTTGTGTATTGATGAAGAAACGGATGGGATTAGGATATAGTGGGATCGGCGAAGTGAGGGTTAGAAGATGACTGACCATAAAAGGCATATGTCACGGGCTCGGACCAGTAGATACTAACGGAATGATATTCCTATCTAAACTAGTGTGGCCATCGACGAGGATATCGAATCTGAAGAAAAGAAAAGAAGAGGAAAGTCTATTTACCCGAAGAAATCTTATACGGTTGTGTGTAGCCTCGCTAAGCAGCTGTTTGTCTTGATTGCTTTCATGGCATCGTTTGCCATGTTGATGGTGTTTGCCGATAAAGGCGCTGAGCTGAGCCGTCACACAGGCTCTGGAATCCCAGCACGGGCGACCTGTGCCAGACCCTTGAGGGCCATTCTGATTCAGTTCGGTCTGTGGCCTTCGCACCTAATGGTCAGCTGCTGGCATCCAGTTCCCGGGACAAGATTATCAAACTCTGGGATGCAAGCACAGGCAACCTGTGCCAGACTCTTGAGGGCCATTCCGATTGGGTTTGGTCTGAAACCAATGTTGAGATATATATTCTAGGAAACCAGTGGATCTGCTCTTGTGATAGGAGAGTGTGGTGGAGCTTGCGAGAGCTGTCCAATAATAGTAGGTGATGCTGAGTGCTGACACCTCAGGCATCTGCCAGGTTTGACAGCAAATTAGGATTTCGCTCAGCCAACGCGCTTTGTAATAGATCGGTAGGGCGAGTACGGCCGCCTTGACATGTAAGCAGACTGCATTCACTAGCGGTTTTAAGTCCTTGCCTCGCGTTATCTCGAGTGGAGAAAATAGCTTGGCAATGAGTGGTGCAATGTGGTAATTCCTGATCAGCGTGTTGGATTTATAAGCGGTCCTTAGACAGTACACCCCATATATGACTGTTTCAATTGCCTCCGATATTATGAAGAGCAGCATAGCAGCGTTTTGAAGAGACAGCATTTCATTTGCAAAGCCAAAATGACAACGGCAAATGTGCTTATCACCGGTGCAACAGGGTTCATGTGCGTCACTCACCCTCTTAGCCTCGAATAGCATGCTCGCAATCTTGCAGTGGAGGTTCCGTAGTCGCCCAAATTCTCTCCGCAGAGAACCCGAAGGCCAAGGATGTCTCCGTTACGGCCCTTGTTAGGAAGGAACAGCAAGCGACTACACTCGTCGACAAAGGAGTAAATGCAATACTGTTTGATGGCCTTGACAATACCGCACAGCTTCGCACGACTGCATCAGAATTTGACATTGTCATCCACTGCGCCACCGGCTTGCATACGTCGTCGGCCCAACCTTTAATTTCAGGTTTAGGAGACTCTATGAAAAGATCAGGTCGTCAAACCCATTATATTCATGTATGTCTGCCTGGTTGAGAAAAGTTCTCAAAATGCCATTGACAGACCAGACCACCGGCACGTCCAACCTGGCCTACAGTATCATATCGCATCCTGATGGTACAATTAACACTTTCGCTGATACCGATGATATTTACGAAGAGGTCCATAGAGACGCTCAACAGCTCTACCATCAACGCCGAACAGACTTGGTTGTTATCGCAATGGCGGAAAAGACTGGGGCCAAGCCATATCTGATGATGCCCCCAACGGTGTACGGGGAGGGTCTAGGCCAATTCAAGACCCAATCAATCCAAATACCCTTTGCAATCAGCCGCGCCATCGAGGCCGGATATCCAGAATACATCGGAGATGGATCAGGAACGGTCGGATTCGTTCATATCGCCGACCTTGCCATGCTCTATATGTTGTTATTGAACAAAGTCCTGGAAGCGGACGCTCCATCCGGGCGAAAGGGGTACTACTTCAGTAATACGGGTGAATATACTTGGAAGAGCTTGAGTTATAAGATCGGGGAAGTTGGCTTTCGTCTGGGCGCACTAAGATCGCCTGCCGAAATCAATCCCCTTGCGTGAAGCTGTGCAGAGTTGGAATTTCAGAGGATATGACAGCCTTTTAATCGAGACTAACTTTGCTGGAAGGTTAGAGCCTCGTTGCTTCTTATTTGGAATCTAACTACTAATCCCATTTCTCAGGTCAAAGGCTTTGCCGAAGAATGCCTATAGTATAGGGTGGCAGCCCATGAAATCGGAGGCAGACTGGAAACAAGGGATAGAAAAGACGTGGAAAGCAATGCTAGACGATACCCCTTGATCCTGAAGATCTTGATGCGCGAGAATCTGGAATGGAATATGTGACTTTGCAATGAATCTCACTTGTTGCCGTTCCCACGCTTCTTGTGAGAAAACCAATGATGAGTGAGGAGCTTGCTGAGCGGTCGTGGGAAAGCATGAACCCGAAAAGCTATCATTTACCATAATCAAAGAAGCGGACACCCATTCAATGAATACATCGGCTTTTACGTGACCATTACCCTTCAGGGACCCGGCTACTCATCTGATCCCAAATTTCAATACGAATCCCAAGTATCTCCAGAATTATGTCTTATCCTTTCGTCACCAAAGAAATATCGATTTTATATCGGCGCCAGGACACGTCTCCACATTGCCCAGCCAACGATGAAACCCAAGGTAACGTGCTGACATGCTCCACTTGGAACTTTTGTGATTTTTATTGCTTCTCCCACCGTTCGGCCAGAGCATGGTAGACGGCGCTAAATCTTGCCAATATTAACTATGAAAAAAGTAGGTCTGTCATCCTATTTGGTCTGCCTGGATGGGCGCTTCTGGATAATCGGATTTGAGAGGGTATTCACTAAATGTGAAGTCGACTGTCTCGGCACCGCTCAAGCGTTCCCCGACTCTATATTTGCTATGTTCATAGGAGCTGTAGTTGACCCAGGCAAATTTAAAGAAGCTTAAAGTATCCCCTGCATAGCCCCTTTGAGGTGAAAATTCCCTTCGGGTCAACCTCTCTCTGAATAGCGACCAATTTGCGCAGGTTGGCCTCTCCATAACCAGCAAACGGATGTTGCGCTTTACTGGCATAGTTGATGTAAAGCCAAGGATGAAATTTGTCGGCTTCATGGGTAGCAGCGAGCGACCTCTGTAGCCACCTATTTGCCAGTGCATTAATAGCATCATCGTCCTTCTCATCACTCCATCTTGTGTTGAACAATACAACTGACATAGTTAGAAAGAGAACCTGACGAAGCTTCGTAATCCTTGCCACCATCCTAATTAAATGTGTTACATACCAGTAAGAGGACCCTCGGCCTGTATGCCAGCAGCGCTTCCTCCTCTCTCACGATTTGCCTGGACGGCTGCCTCGTAGAGGGGCTGGATAACGAGGCTGGGAGAGAGTCCTGATATTGTTTTTATGGGTTGTAGTTCTTCGATCAATATATCCTGCAACTTTCTGTCGAGGTCGACAGATGGTTGGTAGGTCACCGTCGCGTACAGGTTTCTATTTCAAGTCAGTCACCTAATATTTCGTAACCAGCAGAGACCAAGTGACTGAACTGACCGGCCACCGCCAGGCGAGATGCCATCGGTACTGAAATTGCTCAGCCTGTCTATACGGACAGTGTCTGATTCATATGGGAGCTCATTGAGTTGCCGAAATGGGGGGGGATCCGATGTTGGAAGCGCATATTCCTGGTTCACTGCTATAGTAAAGTCATCCAGGTTTTGGTCGTATGCAAAATTGTAGTAAAATGACATAGCGGTATCATTCTTCCACAGCGTTGTCAAGTCAGAGGCTTGCTGCAGAACAGCCTCCCGAATGTTCGATGAATATGTCCGGCTACCGCCGTATACTTGACCTTGTGGGACCGCCCTCATTGTGAAGTGTGTGATGATCCCGAAATTGTTCATCCCGCCTCTGAGAGCAAAATATAGATCCGGATGGGTATGCTGGTTCACTTTTGCGATGGTCGCATTGGGAAGGACAAGCTGATTATCAACCCATTAGCAAATTCCAGACCTAACTCGGAATCCTGATCAAACAAACCTCATATTCAAAGATATTATCCATGGCCAGACCGTACGCAGGTGACAAGCTTGAAAAACCGCCTCCAAGTGCAAACCCCCCAAGGCCAACATCCGCGACTCGGCCTCCGAGGGTGGTCAGGTTGTATTTTTCGAGTCCGGAATATAAGCTATACAAGACGTGACCACTCCCTAGCTTTACCCGGGATCGGTCGGCGGCTACCTGAATGGATCTCATCTTTTGCATGTCAATGGTAACGCCGCCGGCCGAGATAGAATCATCCGGGTCTCGAGCGTGGCCACCCCCTTTCACTGCAAAGCGGCAACTTTCCTCTAGAATGACGCCAAGGACACTTGAAACATCCTCAGTGCTAGTTGGCAGGACACGACATGCCGATTGAGTTTGCTGCTGCTTGGCATCCCACACAGCGAGGTTTCTGTTTCCCGCAAAGAACGAGTTTGGCCCCAAAAGGTTGGCCAGGCGCGAGCACTGCAGATATGTCAGAAGGTTAAAGTGATTCGGGTGAAGTCGACATACTGATTTCACACATCCCGTGTCAGGGACAGATGATACTTGTTCATTTCCGGTTGCAGTTGGGGACAAGATTGGCAAGAGAACGGAAAGGGTCGTGACAAAACGCATCATTGCTGAGATGGCCATGGACTATGCGTGTGGCAGGCAGATAGTTGAAGCCTTGAAGGAGGTCTCCTATTTATGCACACCAAGTCCCCACGTCCCGAAATCCCCTGCGACTTGCTTACAGTGGAGAATAGTCTCATGGTAGAGGCCAGGGCCCACAGTTACGTCTGCCCAGGTGCGACTTCATTTCAGAGAATACATACAGTAGAGAGTACGAAACCTTGTAACATTTTGATACAAAATGACCTGCAATATCTCAACGCATTCCAAGTTACGTTTACTAGAAATTTAAAGTAGTATTAAGTTATTCATGGCCATACACAGTATATATCTCAGTTTTAAATTATCCAGAGCTATTATTTACCTAGGTATTATAAATTACCCCGTATTTTAAACCAGATATATATATTAACAGCAGATAACAAGTTTTTAATATATATATATTTCCAATATCTATTCATATATACACATAAAGAACGGACATTTCTAATATGAGTCTCGATTGTAGTAAACTAGTTGAGATATCACTTATTTAAAAAGGGCCAGTTTTTATGGGAATACAGAATTCGCACTTCGGCCGTATTCGCGGCTCGCCCGTTGCATACGTTATGCAAGGAACCAGAAATGAGTCTCTCCCTCAGGCATCCAGAGTAAGTGCCATGATTTTGCCCCTGCCAGTGTAGCTGGACAGATCTGTGGTGTTGCCACCAGTCGTCACATACAAAGTATTTGCCTTCTCATTTCTTCCCAGCGCAGCCGAAGTGGCCGTCTGAACATCAGGTCCACCAGCGATGATCTCCTGTGTCCCGTTGAGAAACGCCCTTGCTACAACATTATCGTCGAGCCCAGCAAGGTACGCTACAGCATCCAGGCCAATTGCAAAATCATCGGTTCTTACCCGTCTACTGATGATCTCATAAGGGCCTACCGCGTGACCACTGAGTCTGTCAACGCGAACACGGCAGTACAGTCGCAGAGGGGTGTTCACATAGTAGACGTAATCATGCAACATTCTCACGCCGTTTATTCCCAGCAACGGCCCGACATCGGTATTGGCTGCCATTGTGTCGTCCTGTAGCATGACCGAATAGTCGCCCGTGTTGGTGTCCAGGCGCCACACAAGCCCAAGTTGACAGTCCGCTATGGCAAGCAAGCCGGCTTCTCGGTTCAAAACTGTCATCCCGTTCAAGCTTCCATGCGGAATTCTGCTGATCAAGGTCGTCCTAACCCTGTCCTTGCCACGGCTCAAATCGATTTTCCAAACGTGGTTGGAGGCTATGACGGCGTAGACATCCGGGGTAAGCTCCGCGATACCGGTGGCCATCTCAGCGTCGCTAAAATGATGTATGAAATGTGCGCGAGATGGCTCAGATGGCTCAGAAGGGTCGATTTCCCAAAGCTCAGGGGTGTTCACCAGAGTCACCAGCAAGTTGCCATTAGGTCGAACGGCAATATTCTCAACCCATGTGGCGTTGGGAAACTGGTATACTTGGTGCAGAGGGTGAGCGTGGAGACCAAGGATGCCGGGAGTGAACACAGCCAAAAGTAGAACAACGAAAGTGAATGTATTGCTAGGCATTTTGATACTTTGCCAGTCGTATATCCCGCAATAATGGATTGCTCAATTCTCCAGTTGTGCAGCATTCTTATAATATTCCGCCTGAACTTGACTGGTGGAGCTAACTTGGCATATGTATGTTGCTGACACAGTGGGGCTTGCCACTTTGAGACTAGCATCCCTGGGAAAAGACTTTGGGCGACCAGAGCTACTTGCCCCAGCATTGTAAACCATGTTCGGAACATACCATTCTTTCAGTTTATCATGATCCGCGATATACAATGGGGGCTCTCCGTAATCGCAAACAAGGTGTGGGATTATAACTATGGACCGTAACGATTTACAACTGGCGGAAAGAGAGGTATTACAACATTTGGGAAAGCGCACGGCGGCATTTATTTTATTTGGACTTTTCAGTAGATCTTCGAAATAGTGGCCTTTTCCCCGGGTTGGCTCGCCACCGGTTTGATGATGCCACCAATTCAGAACAGCCTCTCAGTAACCAGCCCCATTTCATAAGGAACCCTGGCGTGACTTCCCAATTGCGAGGATTGTGTGGTTCGCCGCAAACTAACAACGTCGCACGGCTATCATGAGTATCCCAAAATCCCATCAAATCACGGCATAGCTCTTCGTCATCAAAGTAGTCACTCGAGGATATAAGGTTGTCCCTCATGCGAGGGAAGGGGAAAAGGTCGAGCCATGGATGATGTGGGATGGAAAGCTGAACGGGAGTTGGGCGTGGACTATAGGAAATATGATCGGTTGGTTTTTGAGGGCGGGAAAGGTTGAAAAGTGAAATGGAGTCGTCGTCGATCATCCATTCCATGTTCATACCGACCGCTAAGATATTCTCCATGGCTGCGCGCTGCACATTCACCCGACTTAATGTAATGAGATGATCGAGGTCCAGCGAACCGAGCCTGTGACTTTCTAAAGCAAGCCTCTCGATATAGGCCATTAGCTGATTGGCATCTCTTGGGGCCGGAGAGCAGCGGAATGGCGGGTACTGAGAAGTGATACCTCCACAGTCCTGGGCCTTGTGCGTGTCTGGTGGAGAATATGCAGGCACCATAGTGGTGCAAGATATGGTATCGCATTTTTTGCTACTCGTTTGTTTGCGGGAGCCTTTGCGAGAGCACAAGTGTATCAAGTAAGGCAGGCACCCTGCTTCAGCAGAGCCGGTGTTTTCTACGTCGGTGGTCATGACTGTAAGTATCCCCCATAGCTATGCTATCCCAGCTTATGGACAAACAAATACACTCATTTTTTGACTAGCTATGTTTGACCTGGCTAATGACGCAACTTCTCATGCCCTCATCCGAGAGTCCCACGAGAGCAGAAAAGTCGTTTCCGCAGTGTGCCATGGATCCGCAGCCCTGGTGAACGTGAAACTGAGTAATGGGAAATACTTGGTTGCAGGCCAAAATGTCACCGGGCTTTCTAACGAGGAGGAGATCATGCATTTCACCAAGGAGATGCCATTCCTGTTGGAGACAGAGCTTCGCAACCATGGTGCCATCTATGCCAAAGCCGAGAGCCCGTTCGGTGCTAAGATTATTTCTGGTGGCCCCAATGGTCTACTGATCACCGGCCAAAACCCTTCAAGTGCTGTAGTGATTGGAGAAGCATTGATCAAAGCTGCGGGGTTGTGATTTTGATGCCTTGGCTAAGACATGTCTAGTGCGGGAAGTCAAGTCGGCATTCCTGGGAGGAAAATAGCTGGGAAACTCTACTTATGGTATTCCCTTACAGAATATATTTCTGCATCAGTAAGCGTTGTCAAGGTCTTGTAAAGGGTAAAATATCATTGTTTCTTGTCAAACACTCGACCAATCAGCAGGCCACATCTTTAAGCAACATGGCTATTTACAGTGATACAATTGACATATCCCCAATAGCTAGAGCCGGATGAGCAGCTTCTACCTACCTGAATGCTTGTCAAATATCTTCCCGAGACTTGATTGAGCTTAGGTGAGGATGGAGCATTTGGCCTTCGTCCCTGGCCTCTTATTTATACATAATGGATCTATTCAGCAACAAAATAGAATAAATTACAAAGAAAGCCATAGCCGTGACTTAATAAGAGACCTGGATGAGTTGTTCTCGTGCTCGAGTGCCCAGTTCCATATCTTCAGGCGCAGGAACGATTCCAACAAAAAATTCAGTCCGTATTCCTTACACCCGAGGACGTTCGGCAATTACCACAAAGTACAACTATCAGCCCAGGAGCACTACTTTCGGGAATGTTGCGGCCTATCCGAGAAGTGAATCTTTGGTTCTTCTGGCGCAATTGAGGCGCAGAGTACACGCCGCATGCCAAGGAATGATCGTCACCCAGCGGCGAACGCTGGTTCGTTACCAGCTGTTGGGCATGTCAGCAACATGCATTAGCGTAGGTCGGACCGCGAAATACTTATCACTTCCCCACTCGTTACGTCGTCCAGGATTGTCTGATGAAGAATGGCCAGATTGAACTGCAAAGCTGTGTTCACCCAAACGCCGAATTGCCAGATATCAAAATTAGTGGGGAGTGGCAACCCTTGGAATGGATTTTGGCATACCCACTGTCAGCATCAGAGATAAGCGTGACTACCACATTTTAACCGACGATACTCCGTCTTTCTAACATCTCTCGGCGTTTAGGTCTGGCATCAGAGTAACTTCAGACCAAGTATTTATATTCCTATCTACGTAACTGCGTTCTGAAATGAAAACAGGTCAGGCATCACCAATAATATATCTTGGCTTGACGACGCCAGCGCTGGTTTTGCTTTAAGGCCAAACCGTGTCAGCAGTGTCCTCGTTGATGCTGACATCGATGCACCCCATACCCACCTTGGGGACTATAAAAGCATGGGCATTCTACCTGGGATATATTTCATCTTCAAACGTTCTCATTCTTCTCTTGGCACAGACGTGATTTGATTCGCAAACAGCAGCAACATGAAGGTCGTTGGAGGCAGCGTCGCCGCGTTTGGCATGACCATGGCTCTTTCCATGTCAGCTATGGCGCAGAATATGTCGTACGGTGCGGATAATTTCTACCGCAGTGATAATGTGACGGTTCACAGGATCACCTTCCTAAGCCAATACCAGACATCAATTGCAGGCAATCTCTTCACCGCCAATAACCTCAACCGCAGTACCTCCGCCCCGGCTGTTATCGTCGGCCACCCAATGGGTGCGGTGAAGGAACAGGGCGCGAACCTCTATGCGACAAAATTAGCCGAACAGGGTTTTGTTACAGTGTCACTTGACCTACCATTCTGGGGTGGAAGCCAGGGTAAACCACGCAATGCTGTGTCGGCAGAAGTGTACGCAGAGGCATTCAGTGCGGCAGTCGACTACCTTGGCTTGCAGAACTTCACCAACGTGGACCGTGAGCGAATTGGTGGTCTCGGTATCTGTGGCAGCGGCTCCTTCGTGATCAGCGCAGCAAAGATCGACCCGCGCATCAAGGCTATCGCAACATCGACAATGTATGACATGGGCGCTGTTACCAGAAACGGACTGCAGAAGGCGCAAAGCCTTGCTGCGCGCAAGGAGGCCATTGACGCCGCGGCACAGCAACGCTGGATCGAGGTGGATGGTGGTAGAACTGAGTACACAGGCGGCACCCCAGGCAGACTTACAGCAAATTCAACTGCGGTGGACCGTGAGTTCTATGACTTCTACCGTACCTCGCGTGGTGAATTCACGCCTAGGGGTACAATTGCAAACCTCACAACGCACCCAACCCTCTCAACTAACACAAAATTCATGAATTTCTACCCATTCAATGGCATTGAGAGCATCTCGCCACGCCCGATGCTGTTTATCTCCGGTGACCAGGCACACTCACGCGAGTTCAGTGAGGATGCCTACGCGCGTGCAGGAGAGCCGAAGGAGCTGTTCTGGGTCCCTGGTGCTGGTCATGCTGACCTTTACGATCGCACGGAGTTGATTCCCTTTGCTAAACTCACTCACTTCTTCCAAACGAACCTCAACTAGAGTGAGCGTTGACAATGTGAGCCGAAAGAAATGAAATACTTACTCATTCAGCTCCCAGTCCTTGGTTTATATCGGGTCTTTGGCGAAATTTGTTGGATGGGGCGACTTGGGTTGTGTTGTAGGCCAGGGGAAATAGGGGTTGTATATTAGAAGAGTATGGAACAGGAAAGTGAGGGATAAATGTACTGTATCTGACTGAGGTCTGAGCTTGCTTAAAACCGGCGCCAATACAACACTGAAATAATCTACTGTGGGTAATTGGTCTCCCCTGTTCGCCTTCAGCAGTTTGCAGTGTAGCAATTATTTGGTGATGGCATGTGGAATATTCGGTTGCAGTGTTTGCTGGAGGGAAAAGGTGTAGCTCGCATTCCAGAATTAACCGTCTAATTGGCGTTATTATAGTAGCGACTAAATGAATAGAACTAGGAGCATGGTACTCGTTCCTGGGAATGAGGCAGCCTACCTAAAGGAGCGTCCAACCCTCTAGGACCCCTAGTAATGATTCCTGAGAGTAGAGTGGATAGAACAGAGCATAGGTCCTCGAACCGGGGATGGGTCATGGCACTGCTTCTTTGAATTGGCATGTAAGGAGAACCTAACCTTAGGAGCTCGTAATACTAGGGACTAAATGCAAAATGCTGACACGTGCGGGTCCGGGCGACATTATGTGGACGTCTCGCTAGACAGTGGCTTTCGTCATCCGCAGCAACGCCACGTTTACCAGCAAATTCTCATATATCCTACTCCACCTTGCAAAAATCGCCTACGAGCTCAACGTCTGACCTTTGCAAGCCTGATACCATGTTGCATGTGGGTACACAACTGCCGCTGGCTGACGCATTACGGCACAAATAGCTCGTTGTGGGAAAGAGCCCTGGTGTTATCAGAAGTTGTAATTGCAAACTTCGGGCGTGGCGACAGTCTATAGTTAGCAGATGATGTGAAGGCAGAGACGGACAGCAGTTCCCCTCAGAGTATAGTGTGTGAGGCTAAGCCCAATCCTGTACACATCAAACTGCATCAGGTGCGACACACAGGCGGTAAGCCTGAACGGGGAAGTTGCTGAAAACGGCCACGGTCTGGTAAATGCCAATTGTTCTATCTGAATTTCGACATGCATGCCCTCAAGCAGCAGCGGAGCATGCTGGGGATAGGAGCGTTGGCATGGGCGGACAAAGTAAAACCAGGCACGAGCGAGGCGAATGTGCGAATTAGCAGAGAAGGATTAACATCCACTGATTTGCCGATGAAGTGGACCGATGTAATGGAATCGACTGGTTTGGTGTTTCTGTACAAATATTCCACAGGATCTATACACTGACCTCAGAGTCATTCGCCTTGCATTGATTGTCGTGATGACATTCTATCAGAGCTCTACACAGTGATTGCGGCACAGTTAGCCTCATAGGGACAGCGCTTAGGACGGTCTATTGGTTTGCTGAACCACTGCGCCAGGAACACGGCGCAGTTGGTGATCCGTCCGGAACCACCAGCAGGTGAGGACACTAATGCCAATTCTTAGGTATAGGATGTCGACCAGTCCAGACAAGGATATATACGCTTCCGACATTACAAGGACAGCATGAATGGATGTAAGACGACAAACTGTACTTTGGTGCCAAAGTCCACTATGGAACAGTCATTATACAGTCACTACGCCCAGTCAATGGCAGGATTAACCAAACATCGCCCGTATTGCTCAAAGTGAGGTGTGAAATCAGTGTTATGGTCATGAGAGCACGAGAGCATAGTGCCATTTGCCAAGAAATTCTGCATCGGCGAATGATTGTTCTTGTAGCATTGCCCTTTCCACAGTAGTGTGTCATGGGGCGCAGCAGACCGGAAATTTGACAATAGAGCTCCGATCATTCATCACTTGGCAGTGAGCTTTGGTTCCAGACTTTACAGAACCGCCTCCGCGGGAATATGACCTGGGTCTGTGGCGAGAATAACTAACAAAACCATAGGTGAGGCATTTATGCTATTAGATTTGTTTCTCCTAGATGCTAAATCGTTGTCATCTAGGCGTTCCAACCGCATACGCGGCGTATAGGATCGGCGTGATTAGGGCGAAAGTGCGACGTAGAACGGGCACATATAGAAAGAGGCTATAAATGCGGTAAATTGTAAGCTGTAACCAGCCTTGGGAGTCTATCAAGCCTGGAGTCAATATCTTTCCTTGGTGAGGGAGTCGAACGTAAACGAGAAAAAGGAAACCGGAAGTGAAGGTGAGAGGGCGTAGTCGCAATGTCCGAAAAAAAAAAAGGGGAAAGGGAGTGGCGGATTTCAAATGGCCAGGAATATGGGTGA